ATCTGTCTCTTTCCCATCCTCCTTCAGCGATATAGCCTCCCTCCTCCTCCCTTCCACCCGTTCCTTCGCTCTGGATCCGCGGGATTGGTTCGATGGCCCATATCTGTGCGAAGCGTTGCCCTGTCAGCTTCATCCAATCGGTAGGGTGCGGGGGGCAAAGCGAGTGAGAAAACGAGGGAGGCGGAGGAAAAAGGACAGGTTAGCGAGGATATGATAGTAGGAAGAAATGAAGGAAAAATTCGTATGGAAAAATGAAAACGACGATGACAACGACAACGGTGGGAAGCATGGTGGATATGGGCGAGAGTAATGCGATGATGGAGAATGTCCGTGGAGAGGATGCCAAGAGGAGAGACAAGGGTGGTTTGGTGGGAAGCATGGTGGATATGGGGCCCGGCTTGGTCGTCTGGATCCTCACCGCCTCCTCCCTTCCAATCAGGCACAGGGCAAGGGGGAGAATTTAAGCGGGAAAGCAGGGGAGGGAGTGCCCGAAGAGGGGCTACGGCGCGGGAAGAAGAGAAAAATCGGCTGTTCTCGCTCATCGTCTCTGACGCCTTTCCCACCACTTCTCGTCTCCCTTGCCTCGATCCAACGGCGCCGGGCGAGAGCGAGAGGGAGGAAGAAGGAGGGGAGGAGGAGGACGAGGGAGGGGATGAGGTCGTGCTGCGTCCGCCGACGCCTGTCGGAAAGGCGTGTACGGCGAGGGAGGGGGGGGTGGAGGCGCGGAGGAAGGAAGAGGGGCAAGGGGTGCCTACTTGGCGATCCGCTTCGAGAGAAGGAGGAGAGAAAGGGTTTCCAGGAGGAAGGAGAAGTGGGAAGGAAGAGGAGGCATGGGAGGTGGAGGAAGAGGAGGGGCTGGCGGAGGAGGAGATGAAGAGGGCAGATGCGGATATGGACGACCTACTGCCTTCCTTCCCCGTGCATGCTAGTGGTCAAGGCGAGGACTGGGAGGAGGAAGAGGAGGAGGAAGGGGAGGCGGGAGGGGGGGAGGAAGGGGGGAAGGAAGGCCAACTTTTACTTCCACGAATGGATCGTCTTCCCGAGGCAAGCAAAGCGCTGGGGAATGTCCGGCTCCCTATTCTTGGTACGTGCCGCATCCCTTCGTACTGCTGCCGGGATTTGGCCTTTTGGCCCGGCTGCTTCTTATTTCCCTTCTCATCTCTGGACTCCTTCCTTCCCCGTTTCCTCCCTTTCCCCCTTTCCCCTCCGCAGATCGAAAGGAGGAGATAGTCAGGGCAATCGCCACGCATCCAGTGGTCATTATCGAGGGGGAGAGTACGTTCGGGGGAGAGGGGCGTGGAAGACAGCGATGCTATTCTCAATGAGTCGTTTTTCGATCTGCATGTGTCTGTGTAGCCACAAGCCTATCGTGGGAGAGGGGAGGACGAAACGGGAGCAGGAGAAAAGTCAGGAAGGAGAGTAAGAAGCTTTTACCCCGGAAAGCCTTCAATCTCACCTGCGTTTCATTATTCATACGCACGATAGCGGGATGTGGGAAGAGCACTCAAGTGCCGAAATTCATCATTCAGGCTGACCCCTTGGCCCGCCTGGTAGGTCTCCTAGTAATCTCTCCCTCTCTTCCGTTTCTTCCCCCCCCTCTATCCTCGTGAGCGCTCTCATTTTTTGCGCATTTTTTCTTCATATCATTCCTTTTTCCTCTCCCTTTGCCCACTCATATTGTGCGTCCCGATTCTGCTTCTTTCTCATGCTGTCTGCGCCTCATTCTGTTCGCCTCCCTTCCTCCCTCCCTCCCTCTCTCCCTCCTTCCCTCTCGTCCTTCATCACCAGGCAATCACCACACCCACCCGGAAGGCGGCCACAAACCTGGCCAAGGAGGTCGCGCGCCAGCTGGGAGTACGTCTTTTCCCTCCTCTTTCTCCTCGTACTCTCGATTCTTCCCTCCATACTCGCCACCCCACGACCCCTAACTACCTCTTCTCATTTCTCCCCTCCCGCCCTCCTCTTCCTCCCCTCCTCTCCTCCCAGGAGGACGTGGGCCGCACCGTGGGCTACCGCATCGGCAACGACCGCTCCGCCGACAAGGACAGAGCCAGAATTCTCTTCGTGACCGCGGGCTGGCTCTTGCAGAAGCTCGTCCATTCCCAGGGCCGGGCGCTCTATTCGCACGTGTTGCTCGACGAGGTCCCTCCTCCCGTCCTTTCCCCTTCTTTGTTCCCCTTAACTCCTTTCTCCATACCCTTAGTGCGCTCCTCTCCTTTCCCCTGTCAGGCTGTTTGGCTCTCGTCCCGTTCTCCCCCCCTTATTTTCTTTCCCTTTACGAAAGCCTTATCACCTCTCCTCTTCCTCTCTTACCTATGCTCCTCCTCCTTGCCTCCCGCTCTCCTCAGGTCCACGAGCGAAGTATCGAATCGGACCTCTTGTGTTTTATCCTCAGGGACCGTCTGAGTGCAGCTTCCTCCTCTGGCCAGGTGCGGTATTTTCTCAGGGAATGAGGGAGGAAGCGAAAGAAGGGGGAAGGGGCAGCTTCTTTGCTTGACGCGTATTGACTTCACGTTTTCACACAGGCTGCACCTAAACTAATTCTGATGTCAGCCACGCTCCAGAGCAGGTAACATGGTCCTCACCTGCTCCCTTCCTTTGACTTCCTCCTCCGTCGCTCCTCTTCGTTTGTCGACTCTTCTCATTACCTCAGTTTTTTCGTCTCCTACCACATCTCTTCTAATGTTCATTCATTGTTTGATTCGTCCTTGCGAATATCATATTTTCGTTCAACTTTCTTGCTTCCCTCCATCCCTGGTGCCCTCCATCCTCTTTTTCCTCTTCGTCTTCTCCTGCTCTCTTTCAGCATCTTCCAGGACTACTTTCACCCTGCTCTGCTAGGTTCCTCCCCACCTCCTTCCTCCAGTTCCTCGGACGCGCTCTCCCATCTTGTTTCTTGCGAGAGGACTGGGAATGGTGGGATTCCCGGGAGGGAATCAACGAAGGAGGGAACGGGAACCTCGGGCGTGGGGCGCGCGGGTTTCTACGAAAAGGAGGAGGAGTGGAGGGAGGGAGGGAAAGAGGAGGATGACGACGAAGAGAAGGATGAAGAGGTGCCGACGCTGCACGTGGGCGCCAAAAGCCCTTTCTCGGTAGGAAGGAGGGAGGGGGGTAGGGAGGGAAGGAGGGAGGGGGGAAGTGAAGGAGCGCTCGCACAGCCTACCTCGCCTCGACGTTCTTGGTCCGATACTCGCCCACCCCGCCACTTCCTTCCCTCCCTCCTCCTTCTCTTTCTCCCTCCTCTCAAGGTTACGGAGGTCTACCTGGAGGACCTCCGTGGCTTCTGTGCTTTCCTGGAGGCGGACCTCGCGCTATCCTGCTTCGTCGACTCCATGGTCAAACGCGGAGAAAGCATGGCGTGAGTAGCCCCTCCCCCCTTCCTCGCTCCTCCTTGCCTCCTTCCTTCTCCTCTTCTCTTCCTCTGGTTCTCTTTGCGACCGTCTCACAGATTTGTCTGTCGATTCTCTTTTTTCCTTGCCCCCTTTCCTTACCTTCTGACCTCCCTTTCCCCTTCCAGAGGGAGCAAGCCGGCCCTGGAGGAGAAGATGATGACGATTGCCGTCAAGCTTCTCTCCTCCTTGGTCGCACCAGGGCAGGTAGCCCTGGTTTTTGTCGCAGGTACTGGCTCATTTCACTTCTGCCCTCGTTTGTCTTTTGTATACAAGCTGCAATTTATCCCTTCGTCTTGCCAGCCAACATGCCTCCCTCCCATACCTCTTCGTCGCTTCCTTCCTCCCTTGCTCGCATCTTCCCCCCTTCTTCAGGCATGGCCGACATCGAGGACCTTCACACGCACTTCTCCGACCTGCTCCCTCCGCATAAACTCGCGAGCCTGGAGATTCTCCCCTTCCATTCCCTCATTTCCGTCGAGGAAACGGTACCCTCCTTCTTTTCTCCCTTTCACTCCCTTTTCTTCTCCATGTCTTGCTGTCGATCCTGTGTTCTTGTCCAGTCAGAAGGAGCACGCTGGCATCCTTTCGTCTTTTTTTACTAGCCGTCCGCCCGCTCGTGGGGGGGCCATTCCTCGGAATCGAGTCTACTTTTCTACCTCCTTCATCGTTTCTCTCTCCTTCCCCGCCGCCCTCAGGACAAAGTCTTCGAGCCCTCGCCCACTCGATCCAAGATCATCATCGCCACCAACATCGCCGAAGCCTCCCTGACCATTAATGACGTCAAGTTCGTTGTCGATTTCGGCGTCGCCAAGGTATTCCCGCCCTTCTTTCCCTTCTCCTTGCCCCGCTAGGTCACCCTTCTGACCGCCCTCTCTCACGTCTCCCTTCTCTCTCTTTACTAGGCCCTCCGCTATGACATATTGGAGCATCGAACGGTCCTTGGCTACAGCTGGGTCTCGCAGGTATGTCTTTCTTCCTCGGTCCGTCCCTACTTCCCTTTCGTGTTTTTCGTTGTCGTCCTCCTCCCTACCTTCCTCAACTCCTCGTTCCATGTTTCCAGGCAAGCGCCAACCAACGTCGAGGACGCACGGGGCGTGTCTGTGATGGCTTTGTCATTCGACTCTATACGAGGTACCGACTTTTCCCCTCCCTTCTTGCCCTCCTTTGCCTACTACCCTGTTCGTCCCATCTCTTTGTTCCTTTTCCTTCAAATCCTTTGTCCTTTTGACACTTCTTCCTACCCTCATTCCCTCGTTTCTTACCCCTCGGTCTTTCCCCAGGGCCTTCTTTGCTTCTCTCTCCCCGCACGACGAGCCAGAGATCCTGACGAAGCCTTTGGACGCCGTCATTCTCCAGATGAAGATCATGGAATTTCCGGTGAGGAAAAAGGGTAAAAGGCGAGCAGGGAAAGAGGGAAGGAAACAGGCAGAGAAAGAGGAGGGCACTTATTCGACGAGAGCTCACGTTGTGTGCAGCAGGAATCTGTGGGTCACCTTCTGAGAAGGACAAGGACTTATCCCTATTTTGTTCCGTCTTCTTTCATCCCCTCCCCTCCCTTTGCCCCTCCCTGCCCATCTTCTTAGGATCCGATTCAAGCTCTTATGCGCTGTATCACCCCTCCCGAAGTGGAGCAGGTAGGTTTCCCCGCCCTCTCTCTCTTCTCGTCTGACCTTTTTTTTCTCTCCCTTTCTCCCCTCCACTCGACCTCGTCTCCTGTAGTGTCTTTTGGAAACATAGTCTTCTTGTCTGACCCGTGTCATCCTTCCGCGTCCTACGTCTTTCCTCCTCAGGTGACAGCTGCCACCGGATATTTGTTCGAAATCGGGGCGTTGGAGGCGAATGACGCGACCTCTCCCACCACAGCTCTGGGCCCCCTTCTAAACACTTTAGGAGTCGACCTGCCGATCGCGAGGATGATGATCTTGGGTAAGGAACAAAGGGAGGGAGGGAGGAAGAAAGGAAGGGACGGAGGGAGAGTGTGAGTCATTGCGTGTCTGTCCTACTTAGCTGGAGCGAAAGGGGAAAAAGGGGCCGGAAACAAGGGAGGAATCGAGAGTCTCGGAGAGCAAGAGGGAATGGATGGTCCCGGAGGCTTGACTTTTTCTGGGGTTCCCACACGGCAGGATGCGTGCTGGGCGTGGGCCTCGAGGCGATCGTCATGGCGGCAAGCCTGTGCCTTCCTCAGGTGTACCCTCTTTCCTTTTTCATTGTCCGCCCCTGCCTCCATCTTCTCTTTTCCTCATAGTGCATGTCATCCGTCGTATGCGCATGCCTCTTCTCTTTCACATTTTACCCTCCTTGCCCTTCCTGTCTATTCTCGTCGTCCCTTTAGTCATCTAAATCGAGTCCCTCGCATCCCCGCCCCCCATTTCCCTCTTCTTTCCCTTCCTCGCTCTCTCAGGATGTCTTCCGCCTCCCTCACCCCACATTCAGCAAATCTATCCCCGCATTTTTCCACGAGATGGGCCGTGTCCAATTTTACAAAGAAGCGTACTCCTACGGCCTGGGTAAGGGAGGGGGGGGAAAGGGAAATGAGGGAATGACAATGAAGTAAATTGGGATGAGGAGCTCAGGCAATTTACGAAAAGAAGCGAGAAATAGAGCGATAGGGGTATGTGCCAGAGGAGAGGAGATAGAAGATGCGATAGCTGTGTAGCTATGACATCCTTTTTTAAATCAGCTTTTTTGGTAATCATTCCCGCCTCTCCTTCCTCCCTTCCTACTCCTCTCCACCTCTACTCTATGGCAGCCTCGGATCCCCTCACCACTCTCGTCGTCTTCTCAGCTTTCCTTCGCATGGTGCAAGATACTTCTTCCTCTCTCGCTGCCTCTTCCGTCGGTCCCACCACTGGTATACTCCTTTTTTGTCACTCTTCTTCCCTTCAATTCCTTTATTCTCTCTTTTTTTTCCGTCTTTCTCCTTGTAGCCTTGCTCACCGCAATTCAACCAATGACCTACCCTTATGAGTGCACCCCCTTCCCTGCTCTCTTCCGGGCTCTCCTCTCAGTTCGCGGCAAGAGGGAGCTCAAGAAGCGTCAACGCGATTGGTGCACGGAGAGAGGACTGGTATCGCGGACGCTTGACCGCCTCCATATGGTGACAACGGCTTCTCCCTTTCTTCCTCTTCCGTTTCGTCCTTCATTTCTTTTCTTGTTGTTGTATTTCCGTGTGTTCGGATCATCTTCTTTTCCTGATACTGTCAAGAACCCTCGTATCTTAATTCCTGACCCTTCGTCTTGGTTTTGGGAATCTATTTTTATCAAATCCTTTCTCCATCCGTATTCCCGCAGTCTGTATATGTTGTAAAGGGAACACTCAGAAAGGCTACATTTCCTCCTCCTCCCCTCACCATGCTCGTCCCATACCCATTCACAGGTTGTCAAAGACCTTTCCCGCAAGCTCTCCCTCCACTCCGACGGCTCCCTCCCCACCTTCGAGGTACCGTCCCTCGTCCTCCTATCCTGCTTTTTGTTATTCTATTGCCGTGTCCAATAGCCAAGTCAAGCATTCTATTCCTGTGATTTTTCATTTTTCGATACTTCCCTCCTTCCGACACCTCTCAGGAGGTGCACAAGACCCTTGTCAGGCCTACCTACGTGCAAGAGCTGCTCAGAGACCAGGAAAAGATTTTCCTCCTTCGCAGCCTCCTTCTCGGCTCTTTCCACGCCAATCTGCTGCGAGGTAACGTGCTTCCTCCTCGTTCCCTATCCGTCTTTCCTTCTCGTCTATCACGGGTCTTTCTGTCTTCAGAGACTTCCTCTCCACAACTCTTTCATCCTTTCCACCTCCTGACTTTTCCCTCATCTCACCTCCTGTGTTGCTTCTTCAGGCACCATGAGCGCCCGCGGTAATTCTGAAGAAGATGACCGGAAGCTCGTCATTCGCCGCCCGCCGGCAGAGATCATGTAAGGAGGCAGAAGTTGAGGGATGCGAGGAGGGGTTGACGTAGGGGTTAACGGAGGAAGGAGAAGAGACGGTATAAGAAATGACCCCAAAACCCGCGTACTGGGCTGTCCTTTTCCACCATTTTTTCCAAGTGGCCTGGTTATATACAGACACACAGTCGCTCACTCTTCTTTGTCTGTTCCACTTTCAGACGTTGCACCTCTCTGGGGGACATTTTGGGGATGGAGGAAGACATGTCCAAAATTCAAAGCACCAAAAACGGTCGAGACCTTGAGGTTTTGTTCTTGCCGGCGGATTTGCGGGCTGGACGAAGTAGGGAGGGGGCGAGGAAGGACTCGATGGGAGGATGGAAGGGGGGGGGTGATGTAGGAAGGGGAAAGTGTCATGGGGTTTAAAGCTTGTCCTGCCTCCACCAACACCTATCTCCCCCCTCTTTTCTTCCAACGCCTTTCCTCCTCTCCCCTTCCAGGGGACACGGAGGCATCCTCAGCACTCCCTTCTTCCACCATGCCCTCGCCCGATGCGGTCTCAGCGTCGCCCCTCGCTCCATTCCCTCCTTTCGGGCCGGGGCAACACGGCTTTAGGGACGTGCACTTCGCGGTTAAGGCCCTACTC